GTGGCAGGGAGGCAAGTTGAGTGGAAACGGAAACCAAGGAGGCAGGAGGACGAGAGCTGTTATATTCAGTGGATTGAAACTAATGTCACGAAACAAAACGTGTTTAATGGAAAATTAACATGTTCTGTAAAACTTCACCAAAATTTCAATAATGGGACGTGTGTGTGTGTGTGTGTGTGTGTGTGTACTATTGTGGTTTCCACCTTAGTGTCTCCTGGCTCACTCAGGGTGCTGTGAACACACTCAAGCAGCCCTTTTGAGTAATTCGCATGACAAGGAATTGAGACCTCCTGCCAATAGCCAGATCCCCCAGTTTGATGCTTGCCAAACCAGTCAGTGGGGACAGACCTCAGTACACAAGGTGATGATGACCTCCCTTGTCTCAGATGCCCGGCCTCAGGATCTTGTTCCTCCCATCCCTATCTCAGATCCACACCAAGGTCTCTTCCTTAGTAGCACTTACTTCCACTCCTACCTATATAACTTATCTGTGCTAAAATTTGACTGCCGTAACATTTACTCATAAATACATTTTAATCTCTTAAAAATGGTGCTGAAATATGAGGGGCTACCCCCCCCAAAAAAAACAGAAAAAAGCTCCGCCAGCAGAGCTTTCATAATATGCATTTTTCTTGCTAGGCGAGCATCAAGCAACTCTCTATGAGTTAGTGGGCCCAGTGGTGTCCACTGGGAAGGTTCTTTCTGGTCACAGTGAATGTTTTTGTGAAAGCAGTTTCACTTGAACCTTGTTTTGGGGGATAGCTGATTTAAGAGAACATTGTGTGGCTGTGAAATTTTGTGTAACAGTCTGTGACAAAAAAAGGCCAGAGTTTTGACAGACGGGGAACTGGTTTTGCCACCACAACAATGCACCTGCTCACACAGCCATCTCAGTGTGCTAGTTTTGGGCAAAAAACAGCATGCCTTTCTTGCCCCATGCACCTAACTCACCTGACCTCGCTCAATGCGACTTCTTTTTGTTTCCTCGAAGGAAGAGGGACATGAAGGCGATTTGACAACGTAGAAGAGGTGAAAAACAAACAGGGGAGGTGCTGTCAACCATCCAAACAGATGAATTTGAAAAATGTTTCTGAGAATCACCGATTTGACAAATGTATTAAGTGTAATGGAGAATACTTTGAAGGTGATATGGTTGTAAAAAAGGTTTTTACGTACAAAGCTTTTTTTGGGGGGGAGGAATCCAGTTTTGGGGGGATACCCTCTCACATATTCACAACGATATACTGTATTAAACTTTATCTGAATTCTAATTTATTTGCCATAATATAAATACGTGTTAAAATATAATGTAGTCCACGTCCGTCACGCCCTTGACAACTCGAGGTCTGCGAGGGCGCGCTTGTCCCGGGCGAACCCACCCCTCGACAGCAGTCCGGGCGGTGGATCAAGGGGCTCCTTTCTCACACTTAGGGGGTTCCGCTTGCCTTACCCTTTGAAGTATCTCTGGCGGTTGAGGGGTTTTTGTAGGCTGCTGTTTACTCTCTGCCTCGTTCTCTCACTCTCTCACGTTATTCGCGCCGCCCGCGCCACAGTCACACTTCCGGTAGGCGCCTCTTGGTTGCCATAGAAACGCGGGCTGCAGGCGCTTGATTGGCTACTTGCTCCACCACAGTCCTTGGTTAGGGGCAAATCTGCGGTTCGAACGCCACAAGCGCCGCCTCTCAGCCCGCCGCGGACCTGGTTGCCATCACGACAGGCACGCCCCCATCTCAAGTGCGGCCTCTCATTGGTCCGTGCTTCCTGACCTCGCTCCAAGTTGTAGAGAAAACCCTGACACAACTTCGGCCTTGGAGCAGTGTGGCTGCGAGGATAAGGAAGTAGGTCAAGACAAGGCTGCCTGGCCAGGCCTTTGGACCAAGAGGAGAGGTTCTGCCGGAGGTCGAGTCAGCCACCTATCCTGCTTGCCTGCCTCGGTCTCCCCATCTGTCAGTGTGGACCCTGCAGCTCCAGTTCCATAGGCAAGGGAGCAGTGTGTCCAGGACGTCCTCTGAGCTCCAGCTGAGCTCATCCTTTCGGTGCCCCCAGCGAGCACTAGTGGATGGACCATTTCTTCCTGCAAGTAGAGGGTTTATTGTCAGCCGTTTTACAGATGTGGGCACCCAAGTCTGGCCGGTATAGGCAGGTCTAGTGGGAGCTGGAGCCCGGACACCATGGCAGCCACGGAAGTGGTCCCTTTCCCTAGGCGTCAATCAAGGCACAGAAGCCCATAGAAGCAAGCCTGGGGCAGAGGTACCCAGGTGGGCGGGGGCAGTGTGATCTGGTGATGGACACCACTGGAAGGGCGGGGGACCTGGGAGGAGGGAGTGGGGAAAGGAAGTCACAGGCTGCTGGACAAGGGTGGGGAGAGTCCAGTAGGATCCTGGCCCCAGGGCGGTTTCGGGGAAGCTCTATTTATCATGTGCAGTGGGTGGCCAGGCACTGAGGTAGTAATTGGCAGATGGGGACGCTCCGAGACCCATGGACTCTATCATCAGCTCGTTTTACAGGAGAAGAGGCTGAGGACTAAGGTTCCCATGCACCCCAATAACCACTGAAAGGGAGCAAGTTAGGATGGATCAGGAGGGAAGCTGCCCTGCCCACTGCCCTTGGCCAAGACCCTTGGTCACCAGCTCACTGCCCCTTGGTGTAGGCTGAGTCTCCTGCACCAAACACTGGCTGTACTTTCTCCTGAGCCCGCCTGAGGACACAACCCTGAGGCGTTCTCCTTCAGGAAGTCTTCCCTGGCCACCCATAGGCAAGCTGCACCCTCTGTTCTGCTTCTGTGCATTGACAGCTCTTGGCTCAGCTCACGGGGTCAGATCCACTGCCACAAACCCAAGGGAGGATGGAAGAGGTTGAGCCCTGGGGTTCTGTGATGAGCTAAACAAGGTCCCCTAAAGCTAACCAACGGAGCTCTGGTGAGCAGCAACAATGGAGAGTGGTCAGAACCCACCAGCTCCACGGGAGAAAATATTGACTGGCTGTTCTTGCAAAGAATGAGGCCTGTGAAATCTTATGGGGCAGTTCTACTTCCTCCTTCCTATATGATCACTATGAATTGGAATCAACTCCACAGCACACGATACCTCAAAGATATCCAGGTCCTTGTACCCAGAATCTGTGAATGTGTCCTTACATGTCAAGTGGGCTTTGTATATGTGATTAAGATAAGAACTTTGAGATGAGAAAATGATGCTGGATTATCAAAGCCAACGTAAACAAGGCCCACTGCCATCAAGTCGGTTCCAACCTGTAGAATAGTTGTAGACTAATTCTAGAATAGAACTACCCTCTTTGGGTTTCTGGGGCTGTAAATCTTTTTGGAAGCAAAACTCATCTTTCTTACACAGAGCAGCTGGCAGTGGCTTTGAATTTCTGACCATTCGGTTAGCAGCCCTGTGTGTAACCCACTACACCACCAGAGTCCTTTGAACTATCCAGGTGGACTTTAAATACTATTCTGAGAGACCTTAGGTCAGAGCTCCGTGTATAGTGGTTCTGTGGCGAGCTTCGATCCACAAGGTCAGCAGGTGGAACCCACCAGCCACACGGAGGGAGAAAGGCATGGCTTTCTACTCCTCTGAAGAGTTATTGTCTCAGAAACTCCCAGGGGCAGTTATACCCTGTCCTATGGGCTCACTATGAGTCCGCATCAACTCGACAGTGAGTGAGTGAT